ACCTTTATGTTCTCTGGGACACCACTCACTACCATCAACCTGTACTACAATACTTAGGATTGTTGAAATATGCTGGAGCTCCTCTGCTGCAAGTGTTGACCCTAGGGGTGTCACGTGGCCTGTTGGCTGCGCTTGTGGCTGAGGACTTGCGCACACGTGGCCTGTTGGCTGCGCTTGTGGCTGAGGACTTGTGCACACGTGGCCTGTTGGCTGCGCTTGTGGCTGAGGACTTGTGCACACGTGGCCTGTTGGCTGCGCTTGTGGCTGAGGACTTGTGCACACGTGGCCTGTTGGCTGCACTTGTGGCTGAGGACTTGTGCACACGTGGCCTGTTGGCTGCACTTGTGGCTGAGGACTTGTGCACACGTGGCCTGTTGGCTGCGCTTGTGGCTGAGGACTTGTGCACACGTGGCCTGTTGGCTGCGCTTGTGGCTGAGGACTTGTGCACACGTGGCCTGTTGGCTGCGCTTGTGGCTGAGGACTTGTGCACACGTGGCCTGTTGGCTTCGGTCCTGCATTTCTTTTCCCTCCTGGAGCTGTCATCGGATTGGCTTGAGGAGGATGTGGAGGCGCTTGGGGCCGTTCCTTGGGTCTGGTGCCTTGGTCTCGGCTGCTCGTGCGTCGTCTGCACTTTTCAAGCTGTTTGCGACAATCCTGCGGGATGCACTGTCGCGGTTTTTCGCTGCACGTCTCTCGTGTCGACAGGTGGTTCTCACTTCCTCCTTGGAATCCGCTTGGGCCCTGACTTTTAGACTGTCTTTGCCCTTTTGCCTTTTGGTGTTTGCGGCCTCTGCGGTCGAATAGTATATGTGGGCAGCTTCTTCCAGCTGCCGCCCAATGTCTGACTTGTTGGTTTTCCAGGGTTCCCGGGTGGGTTCTTCCCGGATGGGTCGTGCCAGGGCTCGTGGTTCTGCTCGTCGGGTAGGGCACAGGTGCCAGTTTCAGAGCCGGTGCCACCTTCGGTCCTGGCTGCACCTGGTTGTCGCGGTGATCGCTCTGTGCGCAGGTCGGATTCTCATAAGGGGCATCGACCATTTTGCAGTTCTTCTCGCAGCCTTCAGTGGCGTTGGGTGGCTCCTCCTCCTCAGGGAGGGTTCAGAGCTGGCAGGGCAGGTCTCTTCTCCTGTGCTTTTTCAGGTCGTCTTGGAGTGGGTGAGCTTGGGCGTGGTCGAAATGACGACAACTCTCAGGTGGGTTTCCCGCTATTTCTGGTTCCGAAATGGGATTGTGCGGACCTGCAGTTCATTCTGGACTTGTTAAGTCTGAACCCCTGGGTTTCCTGCCCCTTTTGGATGCCCACTCTGTCCCAGGTCCGGCTGCTGTTGGAGCCGGGCGCTTGGATGGTGTTCCTGGACCTCAAGGATGCGTATTGGCATGTTCCGAGTCATCCGGGGTTCAGGGACTGGCTCGGTTTTGTTGTGGGGCATCGGAGTTATTGCTTTCGTTGTCTCCCGTTCGAGTTGAACTTGGCATCTCACATGTTCACACGCTTTACCTAGCTCGTGGTGGCCTGTCTGCGTCCGTTAGGTATTCGGGTGCTGGCTTACCTTGATGACTGGCTGGTTTGGGCTCCCAGTTGGTCCGTGTGTCTGCTCCCCATGGGTTTAGTGCTTTTCCAGCTAGCCGGGTTCGGGTTCCTGGTGAACTGCCGGAAGTCTGATCTGGTTCCCAATCTGGAGTCTCTCCTAGCCAGGGGCGGTGGGGTCCATCCTTCCATCGGGCCCACAGCACTGTGCGGGTGTTCGCTGCGATGTGGTTCGAGCTTCGGAGGGTTCGGGTCGCCTGCGGATCAATGATCCGGCTCCATTCGGACTGCTCTCCGGTGGTTCATTGCCTGAACTGAGGGGGTTCGATGCAGTCCATGGCTCTTTGGGGCTGGTCGCTTCGGGTGACTCGTCTGCTGAGTTCTCGGAGTTTGGCTCTCCTGGGGGTTCACTTCTGGGGGGTGTCCAATGTCCTGGCGGACGGGCTGTCCTGGTTCGTTCCCCTGTCCATGGAATAGACGGTCGATGCCGACTCATTTAGTTGGCTCTGCCAGAAGTTCAAGCGCCCGTTCAGGTGGACCTCATCGGGTCGGCGTGGTCGAGGCATCTTCCGGTATATATGGCGCCCTTCCTCAACCATGAGGCTGTCGGGACCGACGCCTTCCACCAGGACTGGTCGAGGTGGTGGTTCCTGTACCTCTTTGCCCCGGTTCAGCTGTTGCTCAAGGTTCTGGCTCGCTTGGAGCCTTGCCAGGGGCGAGTAGTATTCTTGGCCCCGTGGTGGCCGGCCCAGCCGTAGTTTCAGGCACTGCTTGCCCGGTGTCCGAACCCGGAGGTTTTCCGCGGCTCCGCCTCATTCAATAGATCGGTCTGGTCCATTATGACACTGGTTCACTCTTCTCCTCGAGTCTTTGCATTTGTTGTGTTTGACTCTGGATTTATCGCCCTATGTATGGTGATCAAGTGGCTTCTTTGATGGTTTCCCACCTAAGGGCTTCATCTCAGAGGCAGTATGAAGTTTCCTGGCGATCCTTCCGATTCTTTTTGACTCTTCGTCTCTGTACTTTCCTTTCTGTTTGGGTGGTGTTGTCCTTTCTCTCGTGGTTGTTCCAGGACCGTTCTCTTATGCCGAATACTGTCGCCTCGTATCGTGTGGCGTTGGCGGAGCCGCTGCAGCTTGCTTTCGGTATTGATGTAACTTCTGCACAGTTCCGCAAGCTGTCTCGCGTGTTGTTTCACCTCCAGCCTGCTCATGTGCAGCCTGAGCGGTCCTGGTCTTTGGACAGAGTGCTCTCCCATCTCTCTTCTCCTCGGTTTTTGTGGTTCCCTTCAGTTCAGGATTGTTTTTCTAAGGCTCTTTTCCTGTTGGCATTGACCTCTGGGGGTCAGGTTGGAGAGCTTCATGCTCTCCTATGGCGCAGGGGTTTCTGCTCTTTTGGTCGTGGTGATAGGTTTGTTTGTTTGCAGCTGTCTCCTTCTTTTCTGTCGAACAATGAGACTGCAGGTTTCTGGAGGAGTCCTTGGGTTGTTGATGCTTGGTTGGTCAGGCCGGGGGTGCATCATGTTTTGTGTCCGGTTGTGGCCATTATTTGCGTGCCATGTCTTCTGTGTCCGGGGATGCGCTTTGGGTTGATACGGTTTCCCTTCTTCCCTGTTTGGTGGTACAGGTCTCTCAGGTTGTCCGCATTGTTATTAAGTCTAGCCAGCCTGTGGTCTATCCCCGTGCCCATGACGTTCGTAAGTTTGCTGCTCTCATTGCCATCTCTAGGAACATGTCCTGGGCTGACATTTGGGTACGTGGTTTTTGGCGGTTGAACAGGGTCCTGGCTGCATGCTATCTCGTTAACGTTCCTGGGCCTTGTCGGGCCTGTGTCACTTTGGATCGGCGGCTGCAGCCTGTCTTGACTTTGAGTTGAGATGTGAGCACCGACCGCCTCCTAGGTAAGTCCATTTTCTTTTTCGTCTTTTGTGAAGTAGCTCCAGGGAGCCGTAGGGGCTACCCCCAGAAAACCAGCGTTGAATGTAATGAAAAGCTATTTTCTGGGTGAGTCCCATAGGCTCCCCGGCAACCCTCCCTCCCTCTGGTCGGAGGTTTTTGCGTATTTTGATATCTAGCCTCAGAACTGGGGTGTGGATCACCGGCGCAGAGGGTCTGGGGCTCCCGCTTTTCCCTCCTGAGGAGGAGGGGGAGGAACTGCGCAGACATGCGGCACGGCTCATGTTGACTCATGCTCATGACTCATGCTCATTTGCTCGTTATCATTTGGGGAGTTCTGTCCACTCGTTTGTTTATTTTTGTCGTTTTAACCAGAATACGGGGCTTGTTTTGGGGCGCTTACCTTTCTGGGTGCCTATCCCGGTCGATGGCAGATAGAGAATGCTCTAAAATCACATTTGCATTTCTACAGGCGATTTCTCCTCGTGCCTCTCTGAGGGGGGCTAGGTTTTGGCTCGTGGTCCCCAGTAGGCCTAGAACTCCACCCACATTGACTGATGCCAAAGTTAGGGATATTCATATCAGCCTGGATAGCTCTAGAGAGCCTCCGGGACTCACCCAGAAAATGGCGTTTCATTGCATTCAAAGCTGTTTTTCACACACACACACACACACACACACACACCCAGGAAGCAGCCCGTAACTGTGGTCAGCGCTCAGTGTTTACTACAACTAAATAAAGACTTTGGGTTCAGAATGTAAACAATGCTTCATCAGTTAGAACTAATGACTTGACTCATAACTAATATTATAACTCAAGTCTCAAGGCAGCATGTTATACTTGAGTCCTTCACATGTTGACCCATTTGTGTATGTCAGCATGTCTATTATCTCTTAACTCAGAGCCAGATGCTTCATTATAGTCCAGTTACTTTACTCAGAGCCTGATGCTTCATTATAGTCCAGTTACTTTACTCAGAGCCAGATGCTTCATTATAGTCCAGTTACTTTACTCAGAGCCAGATGCTTAATTATAGTCCAGTTACTTTACTCAGAGCCAGATGCTTCATTATAGTCCAGTTACTTTACTCAGAGCCAGATGCTTCATTATAGTTCAGTTACTTTACTTAGAGCCTGATGCTTCATTATAGTCCAGTTACTTTACTCAGAGCCAGATGCTTCATTATAGTCCAGTTACTTTACTCAGAGCCAGATGCTTCATTATAGTCCAGTTACTTTACTCAGAGCCAGATGCTTCATTATAGTCCAGTTACTTTACTCAGAGCCAGATGCTTCATTATAGTCCAGCTTTCACCATTAATGTTTGTGTTGGTAATGACAGGTGCAGGAGACCATCAGGGAGGCCCTGGAGATGACGACCACAGAGACAGGTGCCACAGCTGACCCCGTACACCTGGGAGACTCAGCCTCCACCATTAATGTTTGTGTTGGTAATGACAGGTGCAGGAGACCATCAGGGAGGCCCTGGAGATGACGACCACAGAGACAGGTGCCACAGCTGACCCCGTACACCTGGGAGACTCAGCCTCCACCATTAATGTTTGTGTTGGTAATGACAGGTGCAGGAGACCATCAGGGAGGCCCTGGAGATGACGACCACAGAGACAGGTGCCACAGCTGACCCCGTACACCTGGGAGACTCGGACTCCAGCATCATGACTAAAGTTCAGGAAATCACTGGAGAAATCCCCCAAAAGGAAATAACAGTAAGTTTTTTTATTTTCTCTCATTGGTCATATCACAATATATTAAGTTCCATTTTGAAGACAGGAAGACTGTTCTTAGGTTTATTGAGGTTTCCCTAAGTCAACTACTGACTTTCCTCAACATGCAATCCGCAATCCAGCCTAACTCCTGGATAAATATTTACTGGTAGGTGAACAGAGACATCAGATGAAAGGAAACATGTGAACCATTTCAGCTAGAGTTCCAACATCAACCCCCTGCCAGTAGAGGGGGCTGGAGCTACAGGTCCAGCACCAACCCCCTGCCAGTAGAGGGGGGCTGGAGCTACAGGTCCAGCACCAACCCCTTGCCAGTAGAGGGGGGGCTGCAGCTACTGGTCCAGCACCAACCCCCTGCCAGTAGAGGGGGACTGGAGCTACAGGTCCAGCACCAACCCTCTGCCAGTAGAGGGGGGGGGCTGGAGCTACAGGTCCAGCAACAACCCTCTGCCAGTAGAGGGGGGCTTGAGCTACAGGTCCAGCACCAACCCTCTGCCAGTAGAGGGGTGCTTGAGCTACAGGTCCAGCACCAACCCTCTGCCAGTAGAGGGGGGCTGGAGCTACAGGTCCAGCACCAACCCTCTGCCAGTAGAGGGGGGCTGGAGCTACAGGTCCAGCACCAACCCCCTGCCAGTAGAGGGGGGCTGGAGCTACAGGTCCAACACCAACCCCCTGCCAGTAGAGGGGGCTGGAGCTACAGGTGCAGCACCAACCCCCTGCCAGTAGAGGGGGGCTGGAGCTACAGGTCCAGCACCAACCCCCTGCAAGTAGAGGGAGCTGGAGCTACAGGTCTAGCACCAACCCCCTGCCAGTTTGGAGAAGGGGTGGAGCTAAAGGTCCAGCACCAACCCCCTGCCAGTAGAGGGGGGCTGGAGCTACAGGTCCAGCACCAAACCCCTGCCAGTAGAGGTGGGCTGGAGCTACAGGTCCAGCACCAACCCCCTGCCAGTAGAGGGGGCTGGAGCTACAGGTCCAGCACCAACCCCCTGCCAGTAGAAGGGGGCTGGAGCTACAGGTCCAGCACCAACCCCCTGCCAGTAGAGGGGGGCTGGAGCTATAGGTCCAGCACCAACCCCCTGCCAGTAGAGGGGGGCTGGAGCTATAGGTCCAGCACCAACCCCTTGCCAGTAGAGGGGGCTGGAGCTATAGGTCCAGCACCAACCACCCTGCCAGCAGAAGGGGGCTGGAGCTACAGGTCCAGCACCAACCCCCTGCCAGTAGAAGGGGGCTGGAGCTATAGGTCCAGCACCAACCCCCTGCCAGTAGAGAGGGGCTGGAGCTACAGGTCCAGCACCAACCCCCTGCCAGAGCTACAGGTCCAGCACCAACCCCCTGCCAGTAGAGAGGGGCTGGAGCTACAGCACGATCCCCCTTCCAGTAGATAAGGGCTGGAGCTACAGGTCCAGCACGAACCCCCCTGCCAGTAGAGGGGGGCTGGAGCTATAGGTCCAGCACGAACCCCCTGCTAGTAGAGGGGGGCTGGAGCTACAGGTCCAGCACCAACCCCCTGCCAGTAGAGGGGGGCTGGAGCTACAGGTCCAGCACCAACCCCCTGCCAGTAGAGGGAGCTGGAGCTACAGGTCCAGCACCAACCCCCTGCCAGTAGAGGGGGGCTGGAGCTACAGGTCCAGCACCAACCCCCTGCCAGTAGAGGGGGGCTGGAGCTACAGGTCCAGCACCAACCCCCTGCCAGTAGAGGGGGGCTGGAGCTACAGGTCCAGCACCAACCCCCTGCCAGTAGAGGGGGGCTGGAGCTACAGGTCCAGCACCAACCCCCTGCCAGTAGAGGGGGCTGGAGCTACAGGGGGCTGGAGCTACAGGTCCAGCACCAACCCCCTGAGAGTAGAAGGGGGCTGGAGCTACAGGTCCAGCACCAACCCCCTGCCAGTAGAGGGAGCTGGAGCTACAGGTCCAGCACCAACCCCCTGCCAGTAGAGGGAGGCTGGAGCTACAGGTCCAGCACCAACCCCCTGCCAGTAGAGGGGGGCTGGAGCTACAGGTCCAGCACCAACCCCCTGCCAGTAGAGGGGGGCTGGAGCTACAGGACCAGCACCAACCCCCTGCCAGTAGAGGGAGGCTGGAGCTACAGGTCCAGCACCAACCCCCTGCCAGTAGAGGGGGCTGGAGCTACAGGTCCAGCACCAACCCCCTGCCAGTAGAGGGGGCTGGAGCTACAGGACCAGCACCAACCCCCTGCCAGTAGAGGGGGGGCTGGAGCTACTGGTCCAATACCAACCCCCTGCTAGTAGAGGGGGGCTGGAGCTACAGGACCAGCACCAACCCCCTGCCAGTAGAGGGGGGCTGGAGCTACAGAACCAGCACCAACCCCCTGCCAGTAGAGGGGGGGCTGGAGCTACAGATCCAGCACTAACTCCCTGCCAGTAGAGGGGGGCTGGAGCTACAGGTCCAGAACCAACCCCCTGCCAGTAGAGGGGGCTGGAGCTACAGGTCCAGCACCAACCCCCTGCCAGTAGAGGGGAGCTGGAGCTACAGGTCCAGTACCAACCCCCTGCCAGTAGAGGGGGGCTGGAGCTACAGATCCAGCACTAACTCCCTGCCAGTAGAGGGGGGGCTGGAGCTACAGGTCCAGAACCAACCCCCTGCCAGTAGAGGGGGGGGGGGGCTGGAGCTACAGGTCCAGCACCAACCCCCTGCCAGTAGAGGGAGGCTGGAGCTACAGGTCCAGCACCAACCCCCTGCCAGTAGAGGGGGGCTGGAGCTACAGGACCAGCACCAACCCCCTGCCAGTAGAGGGGGGCTGGAGCTACAGGTCCAGCACCAACCCCCTGCCAGTAGAGGGGGGGCTGGAGCTACAGGTCCAGCACCAACCCCCTGCCAGTAGAGGGAGGTGGCTGGAGCTACTGGTCCAGCACCAACCCCCTGCCAGTAGAGGGGGGCTGGAGCTACAGGTCCAGCACCAACCCCCTGCCAGTAGAGGGGGGGCTGGAGCTACAGGTCCAGCACCAACCCCCTGCCAGTAGAGGGGGACTGGAGCTACAGGTCCAGCACCAACCCCCTGCCAGTAGAGGGAGGCTGGAGCTACAGGTCCAGCACCAACCCCCTGCCAGTAGAGGGGGCTGCAGCTACAGGACCAGCACCAACCCCCTGCCAGTAGAGGGGGCTGGAGCTACAGGTCCAGCACCAACCCCCTGCCAGTAGAGGGGGCTGGAGCTACAGGACCAGCACCAACCCCCTGCCAGTAGAGGGGGGCTGGAGCTACAGGACCAGCACCAACCCCCTGCCAGTAGAGGGGGGCTGGAGCTACAGGTCCAGCACCAACCCCCTGCCAGTAGAGGGGGGGGCTGGAGCTACAGGTCCAGCACCAACCCCCTGCCAGTAGAGGGGGGGGCTGGAGCTACAGGTCCAGCACCAACCCCCTGCCAGTAGAGGGGGGGAGCTACAGGGCACCAACCCCCTGCCAGTACAGGGGGGCTGGAGCTACAGCACCAACCCCCTGCCAGTAGAGGGGGACAGGAACTACAGGTCCAGCACCAACCCCCTGCCAGTAGAGGGGGGCTGGAGCTACAGGTCCAGCACCAACCCCCTGCCAGTAGAGGGGGGGCTGGAGCTACAGGTCCAGCACCAACCCCCTGCCAGTAGAGGGGGCTGGAGCTACAGGACCAGCACCAACCCCCTGCCAGTAGAGGGGGGCTGGAGCTACAGGTCCAGCACCAACCCCCTGCCAGTAGAGGGGGCTGGAGCTACAGGACCAGCACCAACCCCCTGCCAGTAGAGGGGGGCTGGAGCTACAGGTCCAGCACCAACCCCCTGCCAGTAGAGGGGGGCTGGAGCTACAGGTCCAGCACCAACCCCCTGCCAGTAGAGGGGGGCTGGAGCTACAGGTCCAGCACCAACCCCCTGCCAGGGGGTTGGTTGTAGTAGGTGTGTTGTGGTAGTTGTTAATGTGCTGGTTGTAGTAGGTGTGTTGTAGTGGTTGTGTGTGTGGTGGTTGTGTGTGTGGTGGTTGTGTGTGTGGTGGTTGTGGTAGATGTGTTGTCGTGGTTGTGTGTGTGTGTGGTGGTTGTGTGTGTGGTGGTTGTGTGTGTGGTGGTTGTGAGTGTGGTGGGTTGTGTGTGTGGTGGTTGTGGTAGATGTGTTGTCGTGGTTGTGTGTGTGTGGTGGGTTGTGTGTGTGTGGTGGTTGTGTGTGTGGTGGTTGTGTGTGTGGTGGTTGTGAGTGTGGTGGTTGTGGGTAGTTGTGTGTTGTCGTGGTGTGTGTGTGTGGTGGTTGTGTGTGTGGTGGTTGTGTGTGTGGTGGTTGTGGTAGATGTGTTGTCGTGGTTGTGTGTGTGTGGTGGTTGTGTGTGTGGTGGTTGTGAGTGTGGTGGTTGTGGTAGATGTGTTGTCGTGGTTGTGTGTGTGTGGTGGTTGTGTGTGTGGTGGTTGTGGTAGATGTGTTGTCGTGGTTTGTGTGTGTGTGGTGGTTGTGTGTGTGGTGGTTGTGAGTGTGGTGGTTGTGGTAGATGTGTTGTCGTGGTTGTGTGTGTGTGGTGGTTGTGTGTGTGTGGTGGTTGTGAGTGTGTGGTAGATGTGTTGTCGTGGTTGTGTGTGTGTGGTGGTTGTGTGTGTGTGGTGGTTGTGAGTGTGGTGGTTGTGTGTGTGGTGGTTGTGAGTGTGGTGGTTGTGTGTGTGTGGTGGTTGTGAGTGTGGTGGTTGTGTGTGTTGTGGTGGTTGTGTGTGTGTGGTGGTTGTGTGTGTGTGGTGGTTGTGAGTGTGGTGGTTGTGTGTGTGGTGGTTGTGTGTGTGGTGGTTGTGAGTGTGGTGGTTGTGTGTGTGTGGTGGTTGTGTGTGTGGTGGTTGTGTGTGTGGTGGTTGTGAGTGTGGTGGTTGTGTGTGTGTGGTGGTTGTGAGTGTGGTGGTTGTGGTAGATGTGTTGTTGTGGTTGTGTGTGTGTGGTGGTTGTGTGTGTGTGTGTGGTTGTGTGTGTGGTGGTTGTGTGTGTGTGGTGGTTGTGTGTGTGTGGTGGTTGTGAGTGTGGTGGTT